TATGTATAATAATATTATTATAGAACTGAAACCATTTCCCATAAAGTCAGGAACAAGACAAGGATGCCCACTCTCCCCACTCCTATTCAACATGACCCTGGAATTCCTAGCCAAAGCAATAAGGCAAGAAGAAGAAATTAAAGGAATACAAACAGGTAAAAAATAGTCAAAGTATCCCTGTTTGCAGACGACATGATCCTATACCTCAAAGACCAAAAACACTCCACCCAAAAACTCCTAGACACCATAAACAGCTTTAGCAATGTAGCAGTATACAAAATCAACTTACAAAAATTAGTAGCCTTTCTTTACACCAACAATGAACAAATCAAGAAAGAATATAGGAAAACAATTTCATTTACAATAGACTCGAAAAAAATCAAATACCTAGGAATAAACTTAACAAAGGATATAAATGATCTCTACAAGGAGAACTACAACACTGAAGAAAGGAATCAAGGAAGACTACAGAAGGTGGAAAGATCTCCCATGCTCATGGATTGGAAGAATCAACATAGTAAAAAATGGCTATCAAAGACAATCTACACGTACAATGCAACACCCATCAAAATCCCAATGACATTCATCACAGAGATTGAAATGTCTATCTTAAAGATCATTTGGAAACACAAAAGACCATGAATAGCCAAGGCAATACTGAGCAACAAGAGCAGTGCTGGAGGTATCAAAATACCTGACTTCAAACTATACTACAGAGCCATAGCAATGAAAATAGCATGGTACCAGCACAAGAACAGATACGAAGACCAGTGGAACAAAATAGAGAACCTGGATATGAATCCACAGAATTATGCCCATCTTATTTTTGACAAAGGCACCAAAAACATATGATAGAGAAGGAAAAAGTGGTTATCTGCCTGCAGAAAACTGAAACTAGATCCATGTCTATCACCCTTTACTAATATCAACTCAAAGTGGATTAAGGATCTTAATATAAGACCCAAAACCTTAAAGTTAGTACAGGAAAGAACAGGGAATACTCTGGAAGCAATAGTTATAAGCAAGAACCTCCTCAGTAGAATTCAAGTGGTCTAGCAACTAAGAAAAAGAATAGACAAATGGGACTACATGAAATTAAAAAGCTCTGCACAACAAAAGAAATTGTCTCTAAATTGAAGAGACCACCCACAGAGTGGGAGAAAATATTTGCTGGCTGTACATCAGAGGACTGATAACCAGAATATGCAGGGAGCTCAAAAAACTAAACTCCCCCAAAATCAATGAACCAATAAAGAAGTGGACAACTGAACTAAACAGAACTTTTTCAGAGGAAGAAATCCAAATGGCGAAAAATCACATGAAAAAATGCTCACCATCTCTGGCCACAAAAGAAATGCAAATCAAAACCACACTAAGATTCCACCTCACTCCTATTAGAATAGCTATCATTAGAAACACCACCAACAACAAATATTGGCAAGGATGTTGGGAAAAAGAAACCCTCATACAGTGCTGGTGGGAATGTAAGCTAGTACAACCATTTTGGGAAACAATATGGAGGCTTCTTAAAAAACTAAATTTAGATCTGCCATATGATCCAGCAATCCCACTTCTAGGGATATACCCAAAGGAATGCGACTCAGGAGGAATTTTATTCAGCCACAGAGAAGAATGAAATTTTGTCATTTGCAAGTAAATGGATGGCTGGAGAAGATCATCTTAAGTGAAGTTAGCCAGGCTCAGAAGACCAAAACTCATATTTCTCCCTCATATGTGGATTATAACCCCAAAACAAACGGAATAATATTATTGGACATGGGTCACACACTAAGGGGAGAACATGCATGGGAGAAATAGGGAAAAGGAAGGAAACCTAAAACTTGAATGTGATTGATGTGCTCACTGTATAAGAGCGAATATAGTAATCTTAAACTGGCAGAGGCCACTATGGGAAAGTGACCAGGAAGTTGTGAAGAGGTCTGGTAGAGATGAACCAATGTGGGTTGTAATACACTTGTGCATGGAAACAATGCTAGGAATCTCTCTGTATAGCTATCTTTATCTCAAACTAGCAAAAATGCTATGTCTTTCTTACTGCATTTTATGTTTTCTCTTCAACAAAATTGGAGAACAAGGGGGCAGAACAGGTTCTGCCTGGAAGTGAGCAGGGGTAGGCGTTGGGGGTAGGGGGAGGTGGCCCCAAACAATGCATACACTTATGGATAAGTGTAAAAACAATAAAAAAGTAAAATGAAACATGAATATTTTTTGCCAGTGTATGTATAATGATATTATGTAATTGTATATATTATATAATATTATTATTAGTGCTTTGTTATTAAATTTAATTTTAAGGTTGGACCTGATTCCTTCTCTTGTACTTTTAAGTCATCATAGATAGGTTAAAAAAAAAAGGTTAGCATTTCATAGTATTTTCTTTATGGTAGGTGTGTTCTAAGCACTTGATATACAAATGTTCATCCCAGTACAATGTGTTGTATCCAGATAAACCATAGAAAGTAAAAGTATCGTAAGTCAAAGTGCATTTAATACACCTAACTTACTACTATCGTAAGTTAGTAACACAGTATGTGGCAGAGTATGTTCTTAACCCTGGAGAGCAAGTGGCTAATTGGGAGTTCTGGCTGGCTGCCTCAGCACATCATCACAAGAGAATATCTTATCTTATATCATCAGTCTGGATAAAAGTTAAAATTCAAAGTACTGTTTCTATTACTTTTTTCACTGTTGTAAAGTTGAAAAATCAGAAGTTGGGGATTGACATTCACTTAAAGAAGAAGATACTGTTGTTATCCCCACAGGCCATAAAAGGAAACTGAGGTACAAAGTTCAGCAGGTCACTCCATGAGACATGGAGCTAGGGTTTGACCCCCATCGCCATGTCTGTGCTTTCAGTCTTTATATTGCCACCTCCTTCCTTCCCTTACTTTCTCCACCTCTTCCTAGGATTGATCTCCACTCCCACTTCCCTGTACCTAATATGGACTCTTCAGCTTATAGTTTAAGGTTCCTTTTGGGATTCGTTTTCCTTGTTCCTGAGCCTGATGAAGAATGGCACTTCTCCACCTTTCCATAACTCATTGCTGCTCCATTCTTTTACCTTCCTCCAATGTGATATCCTTCAGCCCTCAAACCAGTTTTGAATTCTTAAGTTATATTACATCAGGACTAGAAGCCACAGCTGTAATAATGGCTCTACCAGTTCTGAATAAGATAATAGTAATAGTACAATTGTAGCATGGTTTCTTTATATTTCTTTTATTACTGTGTAACATATCTTTTTTCCTACTGTATTTGCAAAAATGCATTTGTCTTGCCTTATAGTTTGTTATCAGTGATGCCATTCTATATATTTATGAATATGTATCAGATTTCCCAAGATCTTTGAATGTTCACCATAATTCAAAAGCATGCTTGCATATGTGTAGACATTCATAGGTTTTATTTAGATCATTTATAAAAGTTTAGCCTAGGATCTCCTGGCTCTCCAGATACATTGCTATATATGTTGAATGTGTAAATTCTGAGTGTAAGATTATCAGAGACAGTTGTATGATTCAGTTTGATAAATGGGTACTTCAGACCAGTTGTTAGCACATTGTCTTCCTGACTAATCCCAGAAAAGAGAACAAAGAATGGATATCATCTCCCACCATACCATACCACACTCCTCACCCACATCCCACACTTCCTTTCCACTTGGTTTAATCTAGTGGACCTTTCCCTTTGATTGAAAATGAAATCACACTGATGAGTTTTCTGCTTCCTCAGCCAGAAGTAATCAGTACCTGCTCTCCCAGGACCACCCAATAATGAGTATGCAACAGTGAGTTCACTATTTTATTAAGTAAAGAAGAATTTCAAAGAATCTAATTTGTAAATTCAGCTTTTCTGTCTATTCTCTACTTTCCATAATAATGTTTTATATTTAGAAGTTGAGTAGACTGGAGATGGGTGGTGAGCACCCCCTCATTTATGCCTTCATGACTGTACTGCTGGTTTTATCATCATCATCACCATCGTCATCATCATCATTGTCACTGGTGTTGCTTTGCTGGGCTTTTTTCCCCTCTAATAGTCCTGACCTCCATTCAGGAGCTCATAAATTTGGGATGTGCTGCTGCTGCTGTTCCAGCTCTGTTTCAACAATTTCTTGACTGCTCTTTCTGTTCCTCGCTTTGAAAGTGATGCACATGCTTGGGTAAAGTTCAGGCTGTATAATGTCCAGTTAGTGCACCCAGAGTCCCTTTTTTTTCTGGTGTATTTATGCCTGTAGAACTTTCTGCACAGATCATGAGAACTTTGGCCAGTGAATGGACTGGGGGTAAAAGAGTTCTTCCGTCCAGCTTAGGTGTTCTGGCTTCTGTTATTTCATGGTAGCATTCAATTTATTTCTTTCCCTATATGTTTCCTCCTCCTAACTGAAATTCTCAAAGGCTGTGAGTGCGCAGTTCAGGGTTTGGCCTAGTGACTTTTAAACAATGCTTCACTCTTTTCCTACCTCAGTCCAAAATCATTTAGGATGGGGCTATTATACCAATCCAAAGAAATCTCCTGGTTTTAATAGGCTTTATGAAATTGATCAAGGGGCTTACATATCATATGTGAAAAATGTAATGATTGAAAAAATGTAATTTCCCAATAATGGACTTATAACCTTGATTTTTGGAACACAACTACTTTTAATCCACCTTCCCACCTCTCTCCAGGTACAGGCTCCCCAAATGTAAAGTTGTGTGAATTCCTTTATAATATCAGCACAGGGGAAAGGATCATCTTGTAAATGACATAGGTACCATGGTAGAGAAAGGGAATGGGGCAGGGAAGATTGCAGTGAGGGGCTGAGACAGATGAGACTGGTATGGACATGACTTTAGGGGACTTCCATTTGGGTTGTCATGGGCTTCCAGTGGTTATGGACAAATAGGTTGGCTGAGGTACAAGTAGAAGTAGCATCCATGTTAACAGTAGGTGGAACCCTGGGAATAGAAGGTTGCATTGGGATGAAAAGATGAGAGATGCCATGTGGGGAGAAGGTAGAGGACCCAGGAGATGATGGCCAAGAAGGAAAGAGAGCAGCAATAGCTGGCAGCCAGCAGCTGTGGCAATGGGGAAAGGGCAAGAAGAGAGGCAGTGAATCCGTTCAGCAGCAAGGGGTAGGCGAGTTGCTGGGACCATAACAACTTTGGTGGCAGATGGCAGTGTGGGGGCAGTTCTGTGTATCTTGCATGGTCAGCCTCTGACTGATGATAAAATTGTGTGTATCATGGGAAACTTGGATCTGGTAAAAGAATGTAGAAACGGGGTTGGCTTAGCTTGCCAAGGAATGAGATCATGGTTGACATAGTGGTGAACGAGCAGGATTCAAAGGGTACATCAGAAATTTCATTTATTCTCTCTTCCCTTCCTCTCATTGCCTGTTCATTTTACTCTGTAGTTAAGGTTTTTTTGTTCCTAGCAGAATTCTAAGACAGACTTGCTTGCTTCTCTGGCTTTTCAGATTTAAAATCAACAAAATAAAACAAATTTTTCAATAGCTTATACTCAAACACAGCATCCATTTGCCTATGATTAAATCTGGTTTAGTCTAGTGTAATGAAACATTCTGTTCATTCACAGGTAAGGCTTCTCTCCCTCTCACAGCTTCTGCATACTGTAGATGTGAAGCCAGCAGTGAAACGAAAGCTGCGATAGGCTTCTTCTCCCTCATTCCTTCACACCTCTATTCTTCCTTTCCTTGCTCACAGGGCACCTCCGACTTTTTCAAAGTAGAGGGGAGGCAGAAGGATGGAAAGCAGGAAGGTCTTACAGAACTAACGCCAGTTTGCTATTTGTTTCTTCCAACTATGGGCAGATAGTGAATCTGACTGGTTCTTCTATAGCCTCTTTGAAGAGTTCCCTACCCCTCTCTACCCCCAATTTCTGTGTTTCTCTAACCTGTTTTCCTTGAGATGGGGCAAGTTGGAAGACAGCTTCTCTTCTTTATTCCTAGTCGTGTGCTGCTTAGGTTTCCTTACCAGTGGATCCAGGCAGTCTTAATTCAGATGCAGACTACATTGCCCTCACAATACTTATGGTATATCTAGGTAAAAATTTTTCTACTACCTACAAGAGTGGTGAAAACAGGAAATACAGATGGGTATAAACTGCTTTGCAGATGGTGGTCAAAGTCATCAAAGTGGACAGAGTTGCCCAAGAAAACACTGGACCCCACAGAGACACAGAGAAGGAAGTCACTGGCAAAGAATGTGAATATATTAGAGTATTAGTTGGGAGTCAGCCCAGAACTATGCCTATTAATATGTTTATTCTTTACCCATAATGTAGAATCTTTAATACATATATTTTTATTTTAATTGTGTAAAAACTATGTACTGTTTTCTTCCTGTTTTGAAAATTGATATTAATTTTATAGTATCTAAAGTAAAATTCAACTTTCCCCCCCCCCCGCCAGTTGTATATGAACACAGATCAAGATTAGAGAAATCCTTACAAAAGGAAAGGCTTGAACATAAGAAAGCAAAGGAAGGTAAGTACATAATGTAAGTCGTGGTCTGTGGTTTTTTCACACACTTCTTTGAAGCATAATGTACTTAATTTATGATTTTTTTTTTGCTAAGATAGTTCTCAAATCAATCTGAAGCCAGTGTTCTAGGTGGTTAGAGAAAGAGATGTCAAAATATGTTAGGAATCATACCACATAATTCCTGCTCAAGAGTGAATTTAGAGTCTTTCACTGTATTTGTGGTACTTTGATGTTCATATATTGGTTATACATATTATAACAAACGACTTTCTATCTAACTCTTACACAGGTATATTACTAATACCTGGAACTTCTGTCTACAGATGGGTGTAGGGAACAGCATTCATTGTTCAGAACATGACTCTATATACACACTAACACACATTTATAGCATAACGAAGTGATTGCACTCACTGGCTGGTGTCTTTTGAGTTAGACACCTGTTTTTATTTCCTGAAAGCTTTAATGGTAACAGCTGTTTGGTTTGAAAATTAGTATTTAGTACAGATATTAGGCAATGCTGTTGATTTTTATCAGAATTTTTCTATAAAGCTCAGGTCTTATCCAGCTCATGATTTGATATTATCTTCCTGATTGTTTTTGTTTATTCATGCTTTGTGATTAATCTTGACATTTCCATCAGGGATTCTATGTGACCCTCTCTGTGGGGTGAGCATGGGAGGTTAGTACTGGTAAGGATGCTTTCCTACCCCTTGCATTGAGACTGTGTGAAGAATAGAAGTTAATCCTGAAACTGCTTTAAAAGAGTTTGGATTTCCCTTGTCTTCAAATGCCATCTAGTGGATAATAAAGTTTTCAGAGCACTGAAGATGGTTTAGATGGGGAGTGATTTCTCGTTCCAGGTGCTGAAGAATTTTAGTGTGCCATCTAGAGGATAGCTATAAATCACCCTTGCCTTCAGGTGTGCTGCTCATTCTTTTATTTGTCCTCTTTGATTTCAAAGAGAGTTAATCATAGAGATATTTTAAGTGCAGTTTTAATTAATTGGTTATAATGTATATTTTATCAGTGCAAGATTTGCAGCTATAAGATAAAGAAGATTGTATAACATGTTTTTTCAACTTTCTAAAGCATTGATAGCAAAATAAAGTACATAAGTCACCAAGTGGATTGATTTAAACCTAAAATATTTTTGCAAGTCTGAGTATAGCTTGTCTTTATTTTCCTAAAAAATTCCACAATGAATTAATTCATATTCTTTTCTCCATTTTGTCTTTCTAAGATTTCCTTGTATATAAGTTAGAAGCACAAGAAACACTAAATAAAGGAAGGGTAAGTTTTTTTATTATTGTTTTCTTTTCTCCTGTTAATTATTTTTGTGGAACTTGAGGGAGAGAGAAATTTAATTGCAAAATCTTTTACTTATTGATAAGTAAGATTGTAGGACTGACATACATTACTTTTTGTTACCATAAAATTCTTAGGGGAAGATACCACAAAAAAAATTATTCTTCTAAAATCTACATTTAGTTATCACATTATTAATAATAGTGATAAGTTGAGGATGGCTTCAATGTTTGACAGTAAAGAAAAGAATTTTTATTCACTCCTTTATTTTTTGGTAGTTTCTCTTTTCTACATTATGTAGTACTACTTTTGCCTTTCCAAGTATAACTAACACAAAGCCTGGCCTAGAGTTGGCATTTAAAAACATTTGAAGAATAAATTAAGGAAGGAAGGGATGGTATTGAAATTTAAAAGTATTTTAAAAGTCCAAATTAACTGAAGAAAAACAGGTCTTTCTCTAATTGTAAGAAAAATGTGTGAGCATTAGTTGAATAAAACTGAGAAAATTCAATTCTTTGAATTGCGTGAGAGACTTTCAGCTTTCAACTCTTACTTGCCTTTAAAAGCCCCAACTAAAACTATGTGCACTCTGCTGTACATTTTGTAATGTAACTTCCTTATAAAGTAAAATAATAAACCAGTAAGATAAAATGATGAAGCAAAAAATGTAGTTCATTTTAGAAGTTGCAAACATATGAGAAAAAACACAGGAGACTATACTTGTTTTAGTGATGGAGAAAAGTAAGGGTGGGTCCACAGGTTGCATACAGATAAGTCAATATAGCAAAGGGAGAGGGAACATTCCAGCATCTGCCCTACACTGAGTGGCTCTGTCCGCCCAGGACAGCAGAACATGTGAGGTCCATGTGGTGGTGGTGCTCTTCTGGCTCATGGACATGTGTGGAACACAGACGCAGAACATGGAGTTCAGTCCAGGACAGCAGAACATGTGAGGTCCATGTGGTGGTGGTGCTCTACTGGCTCATGGACATGTGTGGAACACAGACACAGAACATGGAGTTCAGTCATAGGCTTAGGCCCACATGGCAGTCCTGGCTTTGCTGCTTAATGAAGTGCTTGTTCTTGTCATGTTCCTTATCCTTTCTCAGTTTCTCACTCTGTAAAACAGAGTCTCACTGTGGTGAAATCATGTAATGAGGAAAAGAGCACACCTTTTCTCTTCCCTACCCTAAGCCATGCTAAGCTTGTGAGGCCTGATCACAGTTGATGTATCCCCTCTCCTCCCTTATCTCGAGTTCTGCATAATGTATTCACCATATGTGGTGATTGTCTCAAAAGTTGCTCCCTGTGTCTGTGTCTCAGTTCTTCAGAATATGAGAGCCAGAATGAAAACTATTTCTAAGAGCCCTGTCACCCTGTCGTTTTATGATTCCATGTCCTCTGTCCTCATTACTAAAATCTAGAAAACCTATGAGAATATGAAAGCTTCATTTCTGCTATTAAATAAAGAAATGGCTCCAGAGATATCCAGGTTCCATAATGGAATTCATTTTATCTTACATAAGTGAGATAAATGAATATCTCTTATTAGAAGCTTGAAGCTGTTTTTAGCAAATGAACCAGATCAGTTATCTTTTGTTGACTTTTTTTTTTAATTTACAGCAAGATTCCAATAGCAGATACAGTGCACTGAATGTCCAACATCAGATGTTGAAAGTGAGTAATTTAAAGTTGTTCTTTATGAATAAAAGAAAGGATTGGGTAGTATTTGAATTAATGATCTTTAAAATGATTAAAGAAAGTTTATAAGAAGTTGATTTGTGTCATAATATGGCATATTAAAGTCACATTTGACTAAAAATTATACATGGTTATAATGTCCCGACATATTTACTGACTGTTTAAAAAGAACATATTTAATTATTATCCATTTTCTTATGTATCAGACTCTCTGGTTATTAATTTTTTACTTTGTTCTTTTTATCTTTAAAGTTTTTTGTTTGCTTTATTTCTCACTGTGGTTTTCCATAGGCATTTTCTTGAATCTTAGACAGACTGAAGGCTGAAGCGCTCTTAAAATGCTTCTTTTGTGTTTCTAATATTTAATAAATGTACTTTTTATCCACCACAGGAGCATAATTTATTAGTTAAAGAATCATCTTCCTTTGATCCTTGAGTTCAACTCATTATTGTGTGTTAGGAAGACCAAACATAAAAAAATAAAATAAAATAAAGACTCATTATCTCTATCAAGCTAGATGAACAGCATATTATTCTGCCATTCTGTACAACATATAAATTGTGCCATGATTTCTCCCTCCCCCTTCCAGCAAACCTATACCTTTTTTGGGGGTGGGGTTCTCCTTTCCCCTATATCGTAAGTACAGACTTTTTGTTGAAAGCAGAACCTTTCTTGTTATCAGCAGAAAATGGGAGGGGGAAAGGAGAGAATACTGGAGGTTAAAGAGGATCAAAGTAAGCTTCATTATCTATCTATCTATCTATCTATTTATCATCTATCTATGTAGCTAGCATAATGAAATCTACCAAATGCTGTTTGAAAATGAGGAGGGGATTAAGGGAATAAAATAAAGGGGTGAACTTGTTCAGAGAACACTGTATACATCTGTGGCATTATAATGAAACCTCCTTGTACTATTAATGTATACTAATAAAAATAGTAAAAAAACAAAACAGAATGAATGAAATACATGACTTAAAGTAGACCATCCCTTCAAATGGAGAATGTATAGTATAGCTAGGTTATGATTATAGTGTAGAATTTTAATAAAAACCAATCAGTTTTTTTACTTCTCTCAAAGGGTAAACAGTCTGTTTTTTCCCTTTTTTAAATTGAGTTATTAGGAAGGCCAAAGAAGAGAAAGCCAACAGTATTTAACAGTAGCCACAGGTACTATATCTGTGTATTTAACTGACCTCTATATTTCTAAAATATCCAGGGAGAAATTGTGTCTGTACTGAACATGTACACACTTTTTTTCTTATCATCATTCCCTTAATAATATAATCAGTATAATGATGATTTACATAGCATTTACATTGTCTTAGGTATTAAAAACAACCTGAAAATCATGTAAAGTATAGGGCCGTGTTCAGATACTGGTATCTGAGTAGTGTCCTGAACCAATCCACTGTGTGTTGCTGGGAAGGTTTCACAGTGAAAAAGGAAGTCTGTAATATCTATGGAAGGTAATTTTGCCATTAGATTTATCTTGTTTCTTTCGTAATTTGACTCCCTGAAATTTCTTCTGACTCTTCCATTTTCCATTTCTCATGCTAACTTCTTGTTCCCACTGATGTTAAAAATTATGGGAAAATTATTTGAGGTTGTGATCCCAAACTATTTATGTGCAGTGTAGAGGAAATGGCGGGGTGGGGGGGAGTTGCACAAATCAACAAGAAATGAACTGTTGTAAATTTGGAGGAAACATAGCTCTGCTCAAGTTTTTACCTTGCAGAGTCAACATGAGGAGCTGAAGAAACAGCACAGTGATTTGGAAGAGGATCATCGTAAGCAAGGGGAAGACTTCACTAGAACATTCAATGACCACAAGCAGAAATATTTGCAGCTCCAGCAAGAGAAGGAGCAAGAACTTTCTAAGCTGAAAGGTATTTGAAAATCACATTAGCCAGTTTTTATGTAAATAAGTGATCATATTAGTGTTTCAGTGGAACAATACAATTTTGTTTTGTTCTGTTTGCCTAGTGATTGATTTACATTTATCCTGTGGTCCTTTACCAGCTGTTTGGTTAGACTGCGTCTTTGTAACATTTCATATTTATGTCTTTGGGTTTGTTTAGGGAAGCAAAACAGAGGATTTAGTGTATTCTCTCCTATTCCAATGGAGCATATGGCCCTGTTGGGCAAGACAGTTCTCTTAATGTATGCTGTGAAACATTTAGCATCTATGATTCCTTACCCACTAAATGCCTCACTGTTTCTCAGTTACTGCAGCAATCAAAAAAATTGAGCCACACATTTCTAAATATCCCCAAGGGGAACAGAGAGACTTCCTGTTGCTCGCTAATAGAAGCTACATAAAACTCAGGCTCCAGATTCAGATTGCTATAAATGTTGGCGTCTTCAATTACCACTTATGTAACAATAGGAAAGGTTTTGTTGTCCTTGCCTCCAAAATTGGAATAATCATAAAAAGTAGGGACCTCATAGGGTTGGGGGTGAGAACTAAGTAATTTATGTACAGTATCTAGAGTAGTTACTGGTACACAGAACATTAACTATCATCAACATCAGCATCAGGCATCTCGTAGTAATAGTGAACAATGAATCACTACTTTGTGTACATTTGAGTTTTGGAAAAGGAAACCAACACATTCTGCAATCGAATGCGTAAGTGCTAAATAAGCTTAAAATGTGAGAATTGGTTTTAAAAGGCATATGTGTATGCAAAACAATTGTGAAATCCAAATGAGGTCTATAGTCTAGTTATGTATTCTTTGCCAAACAGATTCCTGGTTTGAATTCTGTCCTTCATTTATCAAGATGCCATCTTAGAGTGAAGATAGATGATGGGTACTTAGGACCGCTCTATACATTTTTACAATGCTTTGTCTAAAAATATTTCCAAAAAAGTAATTTATAACAAAAAAGGCATACAGGAGTTAAGCAGTCCTTGAAGCAATACTAGACAGAGTTAAGGTGGTCTTTACAGAGTTGCTCAGATGAAGCAGATGGTCCCCGAGATAGGAGGACATGGAGGGTCTTGGCTTGGTGGTAATGGGCTGGTAGTGAGGAATTTTTGGAGATCACCAAACAGAGAAAATAAGAAAGACTCAACACTGGAAGTCCTCACAAAGGTGAAATAAAGGAAGAGAGAACCCAAGGATTCTGGTGTCTTGAGAAGCTACAGCTTTGTGGAGAGGGGAGAGACCTTGGCTTATGGATACACTGTTTAGCATTTCAGCAAATTCTATAAATTGTATAAATACTAAGCAGATTCATTAATGAATGATAAATAACATGTTCTAAGTACTTGATCATTGCTGGCATACTTTAAGAACATTGTGTAATTTAGTAATTTAACTTTAGCAACAGCACTGAAAGGTAGAATTTTTTAAATGTCTATTTAGAGCAACACAAGGTTCATATATAGTAAAGATTTAACAACATATACGTAGAATAAACCAGAACAATTGATAGTAAGAGGATACGTACATGGGTATTCTGACTGCTAAAGCCTCATAAACTGGTCTGAACATCCTGGCACCTGGGACAAAAAGGGAAGTACAGTAAGTGTTACAGTCTTGTTAGGAAGAGAATATATTAGAGAAATATCAGAGAGAGAGAAAGGCAACAATATTTCTGGTACCAATGTTTGGAAACAGTTTCTCAAAGAAACATGACAACAAGTTAGGACAATGACTTAGACACTTTCCTAAGCAATTTTCACATCCACACTTTTGTTTATAATTCTTGACAAAGACTTGGAGGAGTAAGTTAAAGCATTTTGTGATCAGTGTAGGCCAGAAGTGGCTAAGGTGCATAGTCCCGGCAGTCTTTGGTAGTTTATTGTGTTATAAAGAGAGACTTTAGAACTCCTGGGGAGGTGAACTGATAGCATGTAACAAGCTTAGATAATTTCTCTTCATTATTGTCACTGTCAAAGCTGACACTTGACAAACATACTGCATGAAACTCTTCTTGTGAACTCTTCAGGTGAAAGTCTTCATGGGGAGGATCTTATTTAACTCTCAGAACAACCTGGGAGGTAGGCATGTTATTTAACCTCACTCAACAAATGAAGAACTAGAGGCCTGATAACGTTAAACAACTCGCTTGAGGAAATAGAGCAAAGGCACAGGAGCCACTGCACAGGAATTTTACAACCTGAAATTCCTTTAAAAGCTAGCAATTTGTGTATTTCGTGTGTGTGTGTGTGTGTGTGTGTGTGTGTGTGTGTGTGGTGTGTGTGTGTGTGTGGTGTGTATGTCAGACAGAAGCCTTCAGTGCTAAGCCTGCCCTAGTGAGTCAGGGCCTTATATGCAGGGGGCACTGTCATTTAGGGAGAGTTTGCCCAGCATAGTACAAGTTTATACCTGCTGTCACAGCTGAATTATTAATAGCACCCCTTTCATTCTCAAAAGCATCTCCCATTAGAAAATGAATTAGTCATCCTGCCAACAATCAGCTTCCTCTGAATGTTGTCATATGAGAATTGGTTTAATGTTGCCAGCTATTATTAAACTCTGTTTCTTTATTTTTTAAACAATGACAACTATTCAAAAGTGGAAAACATTGTATAGGCCCACACTGTAGATGCCAAAAAAAATGTTTATGGGTTGAATTTGGCATAAAGTTGCAGTACTTAATATGTCATGTCCAGATATAGGAAATGACAGAAAACTTCCAAGAAGATAAGAGATGTGGGTACAGGATCTTTAGGTGGGAAGTTATTACTGAACAGTAAGGCTTGGGAGAGGAGACTGCAGCCTTACATTCTGAAAAGAACTGTCCTGTAGCTATTGGACATTGAACGCTGAATAATCAAGAACTCAGTGGAAGTAGTAAGAAAAAAATTAGAATTTATCAACATATAAATGGGGTTTCTCTCTGAAGTACCATTAGGGACAATTGAAATTAGTCATACTATAGGAAATAGGATCTGTACTAGGGGGATCACTTTATTTTTAACTTGTGAAATACTCAAATCTGAGATAATCCCTGCCTATTTTGTTTTATCCTTTCAGGCTTTCTTAATAACAAAAATATTTCATTTTCAACACCTGAGTAATTAAAAATCCTTGGCTTTCATCTACTGTTATTGAAAGGGATTTAAATTACTAAGCTAGATAACATTGAGGTGTTCAGTGGATCTAGACCATATTCCAGTATGATAGATTTTCTGTTCATTCAAAATATTGTCAAAGTTCAAAACAAATCATAAAGCAAGGCTTCAGATGTGAAAATAACAGAATCAGCAACCTTAGAATTTCAAGGCTTTATGTGTGATTTTTCTTTTTCTAAAACAGAAACCATATACAATTTGAGAGAAGAGAATAGACAGCTAAGGAAAGCACACCAAGACATACATACACAGCTTCAAGATGTCAAGGTAAAATGTGACCAGCCGTTTGGTTCCTTGGTGTTTGCCCGGTTTTCTTTGTAGAATGACTTTCATAGACATTACCGTATTGACCTGCCTTCTAACCCCAGAATATTCCTGTGGGCTTTGCATAACTGGAGTGTGCCTGAAAAGGTGGTCTGAACATGTAAGGATTTCATTAATGCCAGCATTATTCATTTGTTGGATGGTTACATTTAAAAATATTCTACTTACAAAGGTTTGTTCCTTTAGTTTTGATTTCATCATAAGTGGTTATATTTGGATAGGTTTATATCTATATCTATCTATCTATCTATCTATCTATCTATCTATCTATAGGAATACTACATAAATCGTAGCCTTCTCTTCCCAATAATTTTTAAACTTAGCAAATGCTACAACAACAACAAACAAGTAAGGAAGTAATGTTTGGGTGGTCAGATCAAAGAAGAATTTGTCTTATAATGTAAAGCTCAACATGTAAAATTCTTTTTTGTATAGCAACAGCATAAGAATTTACTCTCCGAGCATGAACAACTTGTAGTGACTTTGGAAGACCACAAGAGTGCACTAGCTGCTGCTCAGGTTAGAAGGGTAGCAGCCTCTATCGGGTCTTTTTAAAATCTGCTTAATATTTCTGAATTCCTTTATGCATGTAGTCTCTTACAAGCCAATCTTCAGTGAGTTACTTAGGACTGAGCTGCCCTAATCCTGAGGACAGTGCATGCTTTTAAAATTAACTCAAGAGAATAGTAAATAAACTTTTGATTATTTTTTGCACTGGTTGTATGGTGCAAAAAAAAAAAAAAACTATTTCTGCCTCTACTAGGCCCTATATGAATTAGTCTATTGCCTACTTAAATCACAGAAATTAACACATGATCATGATCTTTTGCAACTCTCTGATATGTGTTAACTCTTGGTATAGGAACTGTAAAATTTTATGATACTGGCTACTCAAATAAATAATTATCAGACCTCTTCTTTCCCTCCTTTGATACCAGTATTCCAACATACACATACTTCTTTGGGGATAAGGCTTATATGGTGTAGGTCAAATTACAGAAAAGCAGAAGGGTCAGTGGAGAAAGAAAAACAAGAGTTGCAAACTCCATTTGCTCAAAGTCTAGGATGGCTCCTGGCACAAGGCAGGCCCTCAGTATTCAGCTTTCTGAATAAAAAAGTGAACAAAGACAAGTGTTGGTGAGCTTGTTAAGGCAATATCATGCTGAGTGTTTTATAGCTTTCTAGAAACAGGAATGGATGGCTTACTATGTGAGACTTAGGTCTTCACTTTTCTTCTTGATGGAGTTGTAAGAAAAGGGCAAAGGGAAACAAGCCATCTGTACTTATCAGGAGACTATGTATTAATTTTTGTCTTTATGAAATTATTGAAAGGCATAATATCCTGGGCCCTGACACATCTGAGAGGCTGTAGCTTCTGGGTTTTAGGGACCCTTGTTAATTGAGTGTCTTTTTACCAAACTGTTGCTATATGGTAATTTATATATATATATAAATTGAATTGACTTTGGATAGAGTATTTCATTCTAAGCCTTCTTTGTAAAATTTTGTCAAGTGTTACTCTGTGTGAGGCTGTTCATGCCTTAAGATATTATGAACTGATTTGAACATTATGTGCTATAATTCTATAAATTTAGAATAAGAAGCAATCTGAAAATTTATGGAAAGATAAGTAAAATGATTGATTCAGTAACCAAAATTAAATTATGTGGTAAGCATACTAGCAGTATTACAGAGTTTTATAATAGAAAAAAATTTTTCTATAACCTGTGTGTAGCTTTCTGTTTCTTTAAGTATCTTTTGTTGTTGTTGTTGGGAAAATTGCCCCAAGATTCTCCTGCCTTTTTAAAAAGAATAGCTATGATATAACTAGGTACAGTTCTTAATTAGAGTTGTACATCTTAGTCACTTTGGGCTGCTGTAACAAAATACCATAGGCTGGAAACTTATTTGTTACAGTTCTGAATGCTGGAAGTCCTAAATTAGGACAACCCATGGTTGGATTCTTGTGAGGGCCCTCCTCTGGGCTGCAGACTCAGCTCCTTATATTCTCTAATGATGGAAAGGTGTAAGAGAACACCTATGATCCCTTTTATAAGGGCACTAATTCCACCTTTACACCATGATTACCTCCTAAAGTCCCCACTCTCTGTTACCATTGTCACGGGGATTAGGGTTTCAGTATATGAATTTTGAAGAGACATATTCATTCCATATACTATGTTAAAACTTTCCCCAAATCTCCTCAGAAAAAGCATACTGTTTGGGGCATCCACATTGCTTATGTAAACCATCATATGAGATTCTGTCTTGACAATTTGATTTCTAAAGGGTTTTGTTTCATATTTATAATATAGAAAAGTATGTAACATTATATCCTTTTAAAACTAAATAAACTGAGGCTAAAAAGAAAATTCAATAGTTGGCCCAAGATTAGTGACCAGAGCCATGTTTGATACTCAGGTCTTCTTGGCATCCAAATCACACTTTTACATGTGTTTTTGAGATTTCCCAACACCACAGGTACCTGGGTCTGGCTCCAGACATTTTGAATCATAATTTCTGGAGAGGAGGCTCAGGAGCCTACTTAAAAAAAAAACAAACAAGGTTGGCCTATATGATCAATTCATGCTATTATCAGAACCATACTAGTGCTTTCGAAGATTTTATATATCTAGAGGTAGAGAAAGGATAGAATTGAGTATTTCTCCACATGTGTCTTAAAATATCACTATAAGGATTCCATTTGTATTTTTTCTTTGACCTCAAAGGTATGCTAATATTTTTGATATATTTCTGATACAAGGTCCACTGCTAGCCATGTGGTACACTTTTGCATAAACTATATGAAGGGTCTCCTTTGTCACAGATACAACAAGCAGACTTCTTCACTTTTTCTGAAAATCGGATAGAGGCAAATAGGTCTCTCTTCCTTGGTGTGGAAGAATAGTGGGCAGTGCTGTGCAGCAAGAAGTCTGACTGGTTTCATCTCTGCTGGTTAGTTTGCCCAGCACAAGGAGGCACCCTTCCTGTTAAAAAAAATGTCCATGTCTGGAGGTATCCAATGAGAGGAGAGCAGTTTAAGGCAAGCCCAGGCAAAAAGTTGGTGAGACCCATATCAATCAATAAGCTAGATGTGGTTGTACGCACCCGTGATCCTAGGTACAGGGAAGGCCGTTGCTAGGAGGATTGCAATCTGAGGTCAGCCCTGGGCAAAAACACAAGACCCTACCTGAAAAAATAATTAAAGTGAAAAGTACTGGCGGCATGGCTCAGGTGGTAGAGCACCTGTTTTGCAAGTGTGAGTCACTGAGTTTAAACCCAGTACTGCCAAAAAAAAATGTTTTAAAGCTTTTGTGTTCTATGTATGTGTTTATGTCAGTGTGTGTTTATACACACAGCATTGCTGCTTTCAGAATAACAGTGGTAGTGTGTATGGTGGATTATATATACACAGTGTCTATTAATTTTGTTAGTTAAGGTAATTGATGTATTTTTTGCCTTCTTAGATCTGTGTAGTAAAGACACCATACACACCCCAAGACCCAACTCACAACATATATACAGATACACCCATGAGTGTATTCTAGTCCTGTACCTGCATTATTATCTTCATCACTGTAAAAAATAAATGGGGGGGGGGACACATTCAGAATTAAGATACAAAAATCCAGCTTCCTTTTATGCCTACTTCATTTATTTCCAAAAGCTACAGAGCACAGACAGTATAGGAAACATTCTGGCAAGTAATGGACCCCATTTGAGTACAAATTACCTAGGGGAAAGAAGGTAGCCTGAAGAATTTTACATATACATATGCATATACATATATACCATGCATACCTTGTGATTCCTATCCACTAAAAAAATATTGCTCAGAACATACTGATAAAAGATATTTGCACTTGTATTTGTGTAACTGAATTTCTGTAGATTGAAATTGAAAACATTGATTAATACCTGTTTTACTTTTAATAATGATATTTATACTAGAAAGTTATTTATAAAAGTTCTTTGTTTCATGTAGCATGGTAAACTAACATGTCTTAGATACTTTTTCTGTTTTCTTTAATTCTAATTTGCATGTTCTTGAAATGGTTAAGCATGACAAAGGAAAATTAGCTAATGCATGAAAACAATCTGCATATTTTCCTAACATATTTAGGTGTAATATTTTTTCTAGTCATCCACTGAACCAAAATGTCCATCTATGAATAGTATCTTTTTCCCTCCTCAAATTGTGCAATTTTCATCTAATTGTGCAATTTATATGCAGACTCAAGTTGCAGAATACAAACAACTGAAAGAAACTCTGAATCGGATTCCCAGCTTTCGAAAATTTGAACCAGCAGAGCCACAAAATGTTACTTTTACCCAGATGGCACATTCTCCACAAGGGTACAACACAGCAAGGGAGAAGTCAGTCGGAGAGCTGCAAGAGGTAAGAGGCCTGAACCTGAATCTGTGGATAGGTCACTTTCCCTGTCCAGCTGTCCTGAGGTGAACTGTTTGCAACCTTGTCCACTCTTCCTGCAGAGCAATGCTTCCAAATTTTTAGTGTATATCAGAATCCCCAGGAGAGCTTGTTAAAACACAGAATGCTCAGCCTGGGCCCCAGAGTTTTGGTTAATTTGGGATGAGGCTTGAGGATTTGCTTTTCTAATTGATGCAGTTGGCTTAAGAAGAAGACTTTGAGCATTACTGTTATAATATTTTGTGAGGAAGACTTTCCTGACTTTGTCTTTACTTGTGAGTTTTATTTCTTTTTAAAGACCTGTAGAATGTGAGTATTTCAAGTTTAGTTGATTTTGTTTCCCTTTGAGTAAGGTGAGATGGTTAAATGGTCATGAAGGTATTAAATGACAATCAGCTCACCCCAGCATTAATGTTAACATATTTGAACTTGATGCAGTGCTGGGCCCATATAGAGAATGTCAAAAGTGCATTTAAAGAACTGTAGAACACTTTCCAAAGAATGAGTTCTCACCTCAGAATGCACTTTATGCTGTTCTTCATGAAAATCAAACATTGCTTAAGTATATGTCAAGAGTAAGGCATTAAAAATATTGTCCTCCTTATTAACCTTTACAAAGTTGGTTTTGCAATAAGAAATGAGAAGTATGGTTATGTTTCATCCAACAAAGTTTTTTTTTTAACAATAAATGTTTGAGAAGACTTGCCCCCAAGTCACCATCTCATGGGAATAATGAAGTTGATGTGAGTAAGCTGACATGTGAGTGTCTTCACTCTGTTCGGAGTATTCCTTCACAGACAGGCTCAACATCCTCATGGACTCTTGTTCTCTATCTAGGTCTTAAGTTAACCACTAACTTAAGAAACCATAACCGAATCACTGGCCTGGAATTTGTTCTGGTCTCTCCTACTTTGATGGCCAGCTTACTGGATTAATGATCTAATGACTCAAAGCTTTGGTTTTTCCATGTGTGGGTTGGAGATTGTAGCTATCTGTCTGCTCTAACAGTTTCATGGGATATTGTGAGGATAAATCGCAGGTGTTTGAAAAGCACTTAGAGCTCTTTAAAGAAATATTTCCTATAAAGCCAGGGCAGTAGTGTGTCAAACTTGCCAGATAGTTAAGGACTGTGGGAAAATGTGTATCTCCCAGTGTCCCCAGATGTCTGAGAAAGGACTTTTCTCCCTAGCTTAAGATTTACACATTCTAGTTTCTTAAGACCAGTAATTATATTTCTGCTAGTTTCAGAATAGAGTTCCATATTTCAATTTGCTTATGTTGTAGCCTGATAGAAATTTCAACTATGGGAGAGTAATTTGACCAAAAAAAAAATTTTTTTTTTTCTGTTGAAGAAGGCCAGTGAGGGAAAAGGCATGGCAGTTTTTCATATCAAAATTGTCACCTCCTTCCTACACCTTCCTAAGTAATGCAGATCATGTAGAGATCTCTGAAACTTACTGGAAAAACCAATTTGAATCAACCAATTTTAAAGGAGGAGTGCTCTAAAACAAGACTTTCTTTTCCTGTTCACTTTTCTGTATTGACAATACAAAATATATTTACCAAAGACTCTCTGTGGTTTGCAAAGAAATTGACTTTCACACATTAGGAATATTTTATTAAGCTAGGTGCTGGTGGCTCATGCCTGTAATCCTAGCTACTCAGGAGGCAGAGATCAGAAAGATCAAGGTTTGAACCCAGCCTGGAAAAATAGTTCACAAGACCCTATCTCAAAAAGAAAAAGAAAAAAATCCATCATGAAAAAAAGAACTGGTGGAGTGGCTCAAGCTTTAGGCTGTGGGTTCAAACCACAATACTGCAAAAAGTATTTTATTATATCTTGTTTAACATATACTATTTTGACTTAGCATGGTTGTTTCAAATTATTAATAAACTAAGTTAATGAAAAATAAACACAACTCTTCAACTGAATAGTATCCTCTTTTCAAATAATTATTGAAAGCAAAATTAACATTGAAGAAAATTATGCAAGCATTGCGGCACTTGAAGTTTGAGGGGTTTTCCTTTTTATTCTAAGGGGAAGCAGGAGTTAGATTTTGAGGGAAAAGTTTGCTTTTGACATGTGGTTACTGATATACTTTGCTTTCCTGGTTATTGACAGTATTCTCTCTGGGGTGAAATTTTACCTGATTATCTCTATTTTATAGGTGAAATTGCACTTGAGAAATATTAAGTGACTCCATTGTATCTATATTTTTAAGTCAGGACTAATGTTTACATACATATGTATATATATGTATGTATGTATTGATATATTCCTACACACTGGGATTTTGTTTATGTTGTAGCTCCTTAGAGGAATTACATCCTTTGAAACATAAGTGTCATTTCTTGTGATGTGCTTGTCCTAGCTGTCTCGAAATAGTGAGGTAAGGCAGAAACATGAAGCAATGTCTAGAAGAACAGAAGAAGCAAAACCTTCTCCTCCCACCCACAAGGAGGCAGAATTCCAGACTCCAGCAGAGCAGAACCCACAAGAAGTGGAACCCAGAGAGCCAGAGGAGCATCAGGTAGAAGAAGAGCACAGAAAGGCCCTGGAAGAGGAGGAGATGGAGCAGGTGGGGCAGGCAGAACACCTGGAGGAGGAACATGACCCATCACCAGAGGAACAGGACCGGGAGTGGAAAGAACAGCAGGAACAAAAGGAAGCAGCCCGTCTTCTGGAGGGGCATGCTCAGGCCGAGGTACCCACTCCAAGTTCACCAGCATGGGGAATGTGGCTTTATTTTTAAACGTTAAAGAAAACAGCCTTCCCTTGTATCACAATATCTAAAAGAATATTTGAATGTCTTTGCTGTATGTCATTTTACATATTGGAATATTCATAGCATAGCTGGTTACATACCTCAGGTTGGTGACAAGAGCAGTTGCTGCCAGTGTGCACGTGTATTCTTGTCTTTGTCAGGGTGCCCATAACAGACACATCCTCACATCACTGGGACAGTAGAATAGCAGAGCACCTTGCTGGGCACCTTCTCAGGATGTGCTTAAGTTCCATTCTGAGGTAGAGAAAGCTGTGATTTTTCTATGTTCATTGACAGCCAGTTGTGTACTGGCTTTTGCCTATTCACCTTCAAGAATTTAATTCAAGAATGAATCAAAAAGCTTTTATCAGAAGCTCTTACCACTTAGGAATCTTCAGTAGGTGAGTGTGTTTAGCCAGTTTCTGCTTCCACCCTGCTTTCTGTGCATACCCTGACATGTAAGCAACACCTCGCCCTTTCTTAAAGAAACATCTATCATTACAAGTAATACTTTAAAGGAACTCATAGTGGACCAGCACTGAGTGCAGCAAGGTACCTTTCTTCCACTGTCTCCAAACCGATACCCAACAACAGGTCGCTTATAACTCTGAAGCATTGTTGGGCCTCTGATTTTCTGGAACTTGAAGCAGCTTGAGGCTTCAGTGGGTGAGTGGGAAGGGTGGCCTGTGTTATTCCCTGAGGTACTTGTAAACTGAGAAGCCTTTGAGTTCTGTACTCTTCCCCACTATGGAAAGCAGTCCCCCACTTGGTTTAATCCCCCTCAAGTCTCTTCCCTCTGTCTTTCCTGAGTAATTTGTGTGTTTTGTTAATTGGGGTGTGGGGGATGGCAAATAGCTCAATGGAAAATGGTTTTAAGAATTGCTGTGTCTGATTTCCTTTAATCAAAAGGTGCTATCTTCTCACCCATTCTTGGTCTCTTTTAAAAAAAATCAATTCTTTGCTTTTCCACCGTAATGTGGGATTTCACTTTTTTTTTTTTTTTTGGTTGTGTGTAGCTAAAGATTAGTATGTACATTGCTGGAGTTCATTAGCATGCCTAGGTCCTTAACTCTTCATGGAAAAAGCTTTAGCCTCACAAATTGCCCAATTAGTGTGAGGCTACCAAGCGCCCACTTGCTCCAGAGCTCTGTGAACATAGATTCACTTATGATTTGAAACTGATTTCTTGTGTTATGCCCCTGTTCCATTTGAGCAGGAAGGACCCGCAAGACTCCCTGCATACCAGTAAATCAGGAAGATTCCAGTTGCTCAAATAAACCAAGGGCAGTTCAGAGAAAGTTAGAAAGTGGGAGCTCTTGGATTTTACGTACACTCACAGTGCACCTGACCAGTCGTTGAATAAGCCAACCCTACCCTGAGTCTGTCATGAGGAACAAATGAAGGGAAAACCCTGAGGAACCTGACCCCTCACTCTCAGCATCGCCTCTGTTTTGCCCCAGGTGTACAGCTCAGCCAGGCCGGTTACCAACTTCCGATCGCCGTATGAGGAGCAGCTGGAGCAGCAGAGATTGGCAGCCAGGAGGGATGAGGAGGCCCAGAGATTGTGGGAACACCAGGAAGCTCTGCACCAGCAGAGACTACAGGAACACTTGCTAAGGCAGCAGCAGCAGCAGCTTCTGGTTAGAGAGACAGCCCAGAGGAAGCAGGCCGAGCATGAGGAGGGCCGGCAGCAGCAACAGAAGCAGCTAAGGTAGCCTCATCCTCCCCTCACGGGATAGACCGCCCCTCCTCTGGTTTCAAAAGCAGATTTACAACAGTTTTGTGTCCCATGAACTTGAGGTGCACATCTTGCTCATGTAGCTGAGGCAGAAAAACTACTTGGGAATTAAATGTCCAATACCTAATTTTTTAAATTTTTTTTTCTGCTTAAAATTGACAGTTTAAGTCTCAAGATAGCCTAGTAGACTTTGTTTTGTCTTTGAAAGATATTTTTCCTTATTATAGTATCCTTTGAAAACCTATCTGCAATCTTTATTATACCTTATCACATACCTAAAGATTTTCTTGAAAAACTTTTATGGCTTTTTAAAAAGTGTTGAAAATCTTCTTTACTACTATCCTGAAAGATAAATGACCTTGCCAAACTGTGCATATATAATGTTTGTGTCACCTGCAGACAGCAAGCTCATTATGATGCCATGGATAATGACATCGTTCAGGGAGCAGAGGACCAAGGAATCCAAGAAGAGGAAGGAGGTGGTAAGATATCTCAGATGATGACTGTTTTAATAAAAAGTACCTGGTAATACCATGCTACTTCAGCGACCAGTATCATAAACATCAACAAGCCAAATGCACACCTGTGTTTTCTCCTTGCCTTGGAAGTCTTGCACATTGTCTTAAAAGGTTTTTAAATTAAATCAATAGTAACTTTCATTTATGGCAAGTGTCTAGGGTGCCATTTATCAAATGTTGTTTCCTGTGACAATAGAACCAGAAGATAATGTCTGCCTGGCACCACTGATGGTTAGATGTACGTCCTTCCTAAAGGAAGAGGATGGCGCACTCCTTTGCAGCCCATTGTGGTATTTTATAGCTTCAGACTCAAGAAATTGTTTTCCTTATTTCCCCCCTGGGTCACTTTAAGCCCTTTTGTTCTGTTATCTGTAAGACTAGAGAACAGTTTGCTCCCTTCTTTATTTAATAAATCCCTATGTATACTTGAAGTCTGGCGTTAAGTTACTCTTTATCTTTATTTTGTATAGACTGAATACTCTCTATATACTTAAACTTTATGCATAGCTTTTTTTCTTTATACTACTGGGGTTTAAACTCAGGCTTTACTGTTTGCTAGACGGGTGCTGTACCACTTGAGCAGTGCCCCACCCAGTTTTGCTTTAGTTATTTTTTCAGATAGGGTATCACTTCTTCACTTTTGCCCAGGCTACTCTCCTGCCTATACCTCATATATAGCTGGAGTTATAGTCATGACCATGACACCTGGCTTGTTTGCCAAGATGAGGTCTTGCTACCTTTTCGCCTGGCTGGCCTCAAATCATGATCCTCCTGTTGTCCACTTCCCGAGTAACTGGGATCACAGGAATATGCCAGTGCACCTGGCTCCTCTTGTATCTTACTTACTTTAAAAAGTGATTTGTTCTTTTTGTGTGCTTGTGTAGTTCTCTTGATCTAAATATTGTTCAGAAAGCAGCAAGTAAATGTCTGAGTTTGAATGTGAAATGTGCCTGTGTCCTGGCAGCATCATCAGTACCATGTCAGAGAACA